GTGTCGTGGGCCAATGCCCATCGCTAGCCACAAAGAGGGTTTGGTGGCATCCACAGACTTGGAGAACAATGAGAAACTCTCCCAGCTCTGGAAAGAACAGACAAGTCACTTCTCTCTTCCTGTAAAAGCATAAAGAAAACCCTTCAGCACCCGAAATGTTTTTTTCCCATCTTTATCAAGAGATTTGACAAGGGGAAAAAAAGTCGTCTTCCCTTTTCAGTCTTTAGACTTTTCCTTAAGGACTAAATGCACGTGGAACATATTTCTCAGATGTTCTCCACTCTATTATATCAGAGATCAGCTCCCTAACCTTCTGCCAAAGTCCCTTGCAAAGCCTGCCCTCTCTTTTCCTTATCAGTACATGGGGTGCTGTGAGTTTTGAAGATGGGAGAGGTATCTGGGTACAGACACACTTCAGAGCAATGTACTCACCTCTTGAGTGCAGGGATAGAAGGGTCAGCCACCTCTGAGGTTAGCTCATTGCGGACACGTCAGAGGGCACGGGTAAAGGTGTCTAGAAGTATCAGAGCTGGATCCAGGCAAGAGCTGACAGTGGAGGATCACAAGGCTCAGTTGTTACCATAGAATGACCTGGATTAATGCAGTGCCTACTGAAGGCCAGGTCAAAAGGATATAAGCCTCCTTCCCGGCCAAAGTCCTGATATTTGCTCATTGTCTTGGGGACCTTGGTGGGAGGCAAGGTAACAACTTACATCTCTGCAAATTACCCCTCCCACCTCTCAGCCAAGAAAAGGCATTTTAAAAAAAGGTTTTGGTCATTTTAGGCTGGGCATGATAGCTCATGCCTATAACCTCAGCTACTCAGGAAGTGGAGATTGGGAGGATCTTGGTTTGAGGCCAGCCCTGGACAAAAAGTAAGACCTCCCCACCATGACCTCATCTCAACAAATAAGTCAGGCATAGTGGTACTAGATTATAATCCCAGCTATGCAAGAGGCAGAGATGCCAGTACCAGGCAAAAAGCACAAGGCCCTATCTGAAAAACAGCTAAGGCCCAAAGGCTGGGGGTGCGGCTCAAGTGGTAGAAGTAGGAGACCCTGAGTTCAAACCCTAGTCCTGTGGGGGTTGGGGTGGGATGAAGAGGCATTTGTCATTTTTAAATCAAGTGAAAAATTATAAAATAGAGTTGAGAAACACGGGAAATTTCATGAGAAATGACTAATACATGTCCATATCTTATGTCAGTTTCATTGTGGTCAAAAGCAGGTGTTTCCAGGCTATGAATGAGTAGTTTGCATTTTCAAAATTAACAAATTGGACCAACACCAAGGGAAAAAAAAAAACCAACAACTGTAGACAGCCCACCAGAGTACTGTTTACCAAAGCAGGAGCAGCTCATGGCGATGGTTTGCAAACACCACCAGACTAGCTTGTGTAAATTCCCTTCGTTTAGTCATCGTTCTTCAGCTTGTCACAGATACTGAAGGGGAACGCAGAAACAGGAAATTACAGACTATTTTAAACAGCATGTTTTATTAAACTCACTTGCTGATGCACTTTATGGCAGGATGTGAGATTCAAGTGTTCATAACTTACATCTTTGCAAGTGCTTTTCCTAAGTGAGTTCTCCCAGCTAAAGTATGGCATGCACCCAGGGCTGGGAGCCATCTCTAAACTGGTAACTGTTTCACCCCAGGTCATGTAGCTGTATCATGGAAACACAGAGGTTTTAGCAAGGTGAAAAGAATGTACCTTGCTTACGTGCTTTAGTAACTCAAGGAAGTCAGAGAGGCATCTTGCAGCAACTTAAAAGATCCTAAATGCATTTATCTTAAACCACAGAATCAAAACACAGCAATCTTAAAATGAATTACTAGAAACCATACTTCTTCTTTTCTTACTTAATACTGTTTTTATTCTTCTCTTCATTGATAGATAGCTCTGCATCTAGTTAAAACCATCATTGTCAATGACATACCGAATCCTTGTCTTTGAAAAGACCTAATAAAAGTGGCAGGGATGTAATAACCATAACTAAAATGAAATGACTTCACATTTAAGGGGCTGTCATAAACATGGATTTGAACAACTAATTATTCCCTACCACCACCAAAAAAGAAAGTTTCCTGCTCTCAATTTATTAGAGGGTATAAAATCCTGGCTGCATCAAATAAGAATTCTATATCCTTGTCTGGTATTTACGGTGAAGGTGGCCTCTCTTACTGCCCATGTCTTCTACAAGTTCTTGTCTGCTTTCCTCTTGCTGCACAGAAAGGAAGGAATCAAATGGAGCTGGAATACAAGTTCATGACTGGAGGGGTGGTAGCCAGGCTTTGAAATAACTTTCATTCACTTGCTTCAGCATTTAACAAAGTAGCATGCAAAATGATTTAGATTTTTATTGCCTTAAAAGATCATGCTGAAAATTACTGAATACTCTAAATTACTGAATGGGCTGTCAAACAGTGACTTCTGCTGGTTTTAAGTTCTTCTGTCTTTCCCCTATGTCCCTTGTCCCTTCAATCCTGTCCCTGGAACATTTGGGAGGTGAAGCACTAAACTATAGGATCATAAGAGTGGAAGCAGATAATATATTTGCCCTTTAATTGTGCCTTTGTCTGACCATGTGCCACAACCTGGAAGGACCCAGAGACAGAGGCTAACTATTTGGTTAAGGACACACAACTAAATGGTAGGGAAAGCAGTAGAACAGTAGGCACACTGGGGAGCAGGGAAGAGTTCCCTTAATTTATCTTTCCAGATTCTGCCGTATTTGGTTTTCCTTGAAAACGCCATCACTGAGAGAAAGTGCTACTTCCAAGCAGGTAGACAGCAGTACAGGTGGAGGATGCCGCAGTCTTTCTTGCTACGAAGGAGTGCCTTGCCCACTGCGAGAAAATTTAACTGTGTTGCGTCAGTAGAAGGGACAATGCTGGGTACACATGAGCCCAGAAGGAAGCAACTCATCAGTTTATGTCAACAGCAGGCAAATATTTTGTAATCTGGATGGGTGTTTTGGGATTCTTTTTGGTGAAGAAAAAGAATTCCTTATACTATGCTAGAAATGCCGTAGAAACAAACGCCCAGTGACCAACAGTAACAGATTTCTATGCGGATGAATTCCAAGGCGCCACTGAGGCCACAAGGAGCAATTCTAGTGGGTTCTGCTGAGCAGATGCATGAGCTTGCAGCTCGGGTAAGCACTGCTGAAAATCACCAACTCTCCAAGTGTGGTGATGCATGTCTGTAGTTCAGCACTCAGGAGGCAGAGGAAAGAGGATTGGGAGTTTCAGGCCAGCTTTGGCTACTTAGCAAATTCAAGGCCAGCCTTGATTGTTTAGGAAACCTTGTTTCAAGTAAAATAAAATAAAATAATAAAATCAAGTTTTAAAAAAGAAAATAACTAATTCTGTCATTTTACAGCTCTGGCCATCAAAAAACCAAACCAAAACAAAAAAACCACTAAATGAAATGTTTGGGGCACTTAAAAAAGCCAAAAAACAACTCCTTTCTGTCATATTTAAATCTCTATGAGGTATGATACTCATAGTAAGAATGCTACATTTGACAAATTAATTAGACTTCAAGTGGATTTCCCCCTTTATCAAAGAAAATATTGGCTTCTAAGACTAACAATACAGAATTATACTTAATACCACTAGACATAACCTGTGGCATACTTCCATCTGGGTCACCTGCTTGACAACTTGACATTTCATAAAGGAATAACCTAGGGTTCAGTACCTACAACTTCATGTCACACAATTTGTTTTTCCAGAAATTTTCTACAAAAATCTTCATATTCTTTAAGCTAGAACCTTACTGATCACATCATTTTTTAACATTGTGCTTTTTAGGCAACAGAAATCTAAACCTACAAATTAAGACCACTCTAAAATATTGGTCTCTTAATGTATCTTTTTTTATTTTTGAAAACTCCTGTGTGGTCACTGTCCTCTAGCTTCTAGATGTTTTGAGTTTGTCATGGAGAAAGAAAGGTGGAAAAGAGATATATGTAGTCAGTAGCCATTAAAATAAAAATGAAAAGCTTAATGAATTTTGAACATTTTAATAAATATATATCAAGAAAACCTTACTTTATTACAAGACATTCATATACAAGCATCTATCACCTAAATTTTCAACATCAAATGTTTATCAAATATTGAAAGTAGAGGACGAAACATCTAGACTATTGAGCTATAACACAGGAACATGGTTTAAAAATTGGTCCTTGCGGACAACTGTCCAAATGAGCCTACTCATACACTGTATGAATGAGACCTATATTTAATATTAATAGCAATAATAAGAAAAAGCTTTATCTTGGAGAAACTGGGAACACTTTCCTATTTCCTCCATTTGGCATTCAGTGCCTGGGAAGTATTGTTTAAAAACGCCCAAGTCAATTATTCCCATTGACCTTGGCAATGGGAATATAGCTTAGCAGGAGGGGTTGGCTGGAGTGGAAGGATCAGAGCGCCACCCTGAACACTTGCAAATGTACAAATTCAAGATATCGAGAAGAATGCTGACCAAATCCATACATAGTAACGATTACAGACCAAGTCCCATTTCTCCAAAATAACTTTCCAAAAACTAAAATCTTTACATTCTTTAAGATAAACCTTATCGATCACCACAGCATTTATTAACATTGTGCTTCTTAATCAACAGCAAAAGTCATATATGAAAAGCCACATGCTTTTATAATCTAAACAAGTGAAATGATGCAAAACAGATTAAAGTATAATGCATGCCACGGATTCATGGACTTCATTGGACAAGAAAACAAAATAGCCTAAAACCCAGAAAACCCAAAACCAGCAACAGACCGTTGCCATAGAAAAGCTTAAGCAGCTAGTGCTAGTTCCTAACAGCTCTCTCTATTGTCTCCTCCATCCCTATCCAAAAATATCAAACCCAACACCACTGGGCATCAAAAATAAAGGAAGAATAGAGATGTTGAATCAAAAGTTGAACACAATAGTTCAAAGTTAACAGTTTCCAAACCATATGGATCCACCCTGTGTTTTGTTTCCTGTTTGTTAAATCCCTGCTGTAACTCTGATTTATCCTTAATTTTCACATTGGCAAAAATTAAGATAAAGTAAGGCACCAAAAATCGCCCTGTATGCTACCTCCCTAAAAGCCTCAACACCCATCACAGGCAAGCCAGGAACTCACAGGGAATACCCTCTCCGCAGATTGTTGACTGCTGCCCCAGACAGGTGTGTGTGTGTTTTATTTTATTACATCACATCCTATTTTTCATCTGTCACACAGAGACTGTTTAATACAAATACTTAATGGCCATGAAGCCATTTCATCTAGCTCCCTGTCTTCAGTCTTTTATTCAGAAAAAAAAAATACTGTAGCATATTGAAGAAGCAGACATCTTTTGCTGGTTATTCTGCTTTGCTTACTGAATAACAACTACCTGTTAATTGCAAATATGTTGAACTTTCTCAGCTAGCGATGGGCTCTTTGTGTGTGTGTGTGGGGGGGGGGCAATGGAAATACCACGAGGGCACACTGTCCCCCAATCTAGTCTACTGATCATTTTATTTTTGTAAGAAAACTAAGATATACTTTTAAACATTAAGTTGACTGTTTTCTTGGTAAAACCACTACATTTATAAGCAGCACGCCTGATGCCTACTGTACAGATGTTTTATGCAATCTGCTCCAAAGGCATTAAAATGACATGTTCATGGCATAATTTTATCAGTTGTACAAAACTATAAAATCCATTCAAAATAAAATTTATGAGAGCTAATCGATCATGCTGTGCATGCTTCAAAGTTTTGATGAGAAGATGGCTCATATTTTACTTCCTTTGCTGCAGCACAATTTGTTACTTGCCGAAGGCTCCTTTTTCCTTAAAGACTTTTTCCAAGACTCACTTACGTTGTTTTTTTCATTATATCCAGTCTCAAAATAATCATAAAATTGGCCTTTGCACTCAAAATCAAGGTCATTTCCCACAGGTTCGTGGCTGAGGGGGTCACCATCTCTGTTGCTCTCATTACTTGCTTTCTCATCATTTAATTTGGCCTTTTCCTGGACACCGAGTGGCCTCACGTTAGTAACAAAGATTTCACTGGCAGGTATTTGACCATCACTCTTGTAATCGGGTGTACTGCCTACATTGAAATCCACCTGGTGGGAACAGCTCGGCAAAGGCAGAGGAGGGGAGGAAGAGGAAGAGGAGGAGGAAGAGGAAGAGGAGGCAGCCGTGGAAGCACTTCCGACACTAGCATTGACAGAAAGGGGCAAATTTAGGTAGTGACCACCACACTCTTGGTAAAAGCAGCAGGCATGGAACTTCTCACACTCCTCTTTGGCCATCCGTGGTCGTTTCCGGTAAGGACAGTCTTGCGCCGTAAACCACTCTTGGGCAGAGGCGCCACTGCAAGAACAGGCCGGGAAGCACCAGTTGTTCTGCATGATAATCTCGCCGTGGATTCTTTTCATCAGATTGTTGATGAGGACAGACCTTCGGAGGTACACCTCAGGATCATCGATAAACTTCAGCTTTTCTAAAGACATGTAAAGGATGTGCGCTCTTTCCTCGAAAATTGAGATGGTCTAAAAATCAAGAAAGGAACAGAAAGCTTAGGAAATGTACCATACAAAAATATCATCACTGCTGATTTCATTCTTGGCAGTGTTTGCGTCTGGGAATGTTCTGCTCTTGTTTCTCCTTGTTCCCCCTCCCCCCCCAGGGAGGCTGACACCAGTGATGTAGATTGTCCCCACCCCTTCCGGACTCACTGGTGTGGCCAAGCAACAGAGAACAAAGTCACAGTGCAGACCTCAGCAGGGGCAGGCCAGTGTTCTATCTGTTATGGCAGAGTGAGGGGGGGTGCTAAAACATACAACTAGTCTAAGTTGTCAGGAGGGCACTCTTACTTTGGGGAGCAAAGGGGTAGTAACTAGAAGTGGCCACAAGGAAGGATTGTGGAGGCTGCTTACGTTTGGTTCTTGACCTGGATGTTAGTGACAGGAGGATGACCCTGGTGAAGTTTATCAAGCTATACTTTACTTGCACTTGTTTTCTGTGTGTGTAAAGAAATACACATGCATATACAGACACATACATTGCACACCAGTACATGTTTCTAAAAGAGGTCACCGTGCAGGTCTTAATGGGTATGTACACTTTGAAGTCTGGGCTAGCCATTAAGGGAGCATGAGATTATCCTTCAGTGCTATCCTTCTTTTATTCCTCTGGGCTTCATACTTGCAATTATCCTTGCTTGATAAGATGACAATAATTAATGAGGCTCAGACCCAGAGAGGTCTGTCAGCTGAAGGACCAAAGTAGGCTTCCTTTAGGGGCTGAACAGGAGAAGAGATGCAGAGAGGAAATGAGAGGACCCACTCCTGATATGTGTGATAGTGTCACTGCATGCTGGTTGGTGCAAGTCCAGTAGCAATTGGAAAATTGCTACAACCACAACACAGACCCTAAAAAGGAAACAAACTGCTTGCATCCTGGGGACCAGCTCTTCCTGGTCATTAAAAAAGAAGCAAACTGTTGGCATAGCCCTGAGGAGCTGTGAATTAAACCAGCCCAAACTGACCAAAGGCAGAGACCGGGACTATACATGCATAGGAAGGTTCAGCACCTGTCAAGATATGTCTTATAATGAACAGGGCAAAAACAACATCTAAAAGATGGAACAAGAGGAGGCAGATGGGAAGCTGAATTGAAAACCCTCTCTGCATTTCAGACAACTGTGGGTGGGGCTATACCTTCCTTGATGAAATCAGCAGAAAGTTTTTGAAGGAAAATTATCCAAAAGGAAAAAGAACTATTTCAAAAGCTCAGATGCCTGTTCATAAGCCCATGTACTTTCTCCATCCTGTTATTTTCTTGTGGTAATGTGCAAAAAAAGTGAGCTTTGGTTTTTTTCTTCGGAATGAATTTTGAATATATATATATATATATTCTTTCACCAGACTTTTCATATGTAATGAATGTACAATGAAGTGTATGTTTGTACAGCATGCAAACAATCAAGGGATGACAAGTATACCCCAAGAGATGGGGAGGGGTGAGGCGCCCTGGGTAGCCACTCCAAATCAGATACACACAGAAATAGGGCTCAGACTGGGAAGAGCAAGTGCATTTCCTGACTCGGGAAAATGCAGAGTAACCAGAACCTTTCATGCAACTTCAGAAATATCAAATCATAAGTTAAAAAAAAAAGATATTGGTTACATTATATAATTTTGTTATTTCTGGATAGAAGATCTCTTTCTGGGCTCTCTCTACAAGTACTTGTGAAAAATAATGCAGGACCCAAAAAAGTGACAATGATTAATGTGGCCCTAACAGACAAGTGGCTCCTTTTCATTGCTTGGGTGGAACAATTTAATTTCTGGAAATGGATCAAGTAACTGTTACTAAGTATCTTAAAGTCTTAATAAAAATAATGACTATTAAAAAACATACTTTATGGCTACAGCTGCTGAGTGGTGGGTGAAAATCCTCTTCTTCCACGTACTTCCTCTTAAAGTATGTGATCTTAGATGTTGTTATAGGATTTGAAATTCCCCTGTAATGTGATCCTGTGGTAATAAATCAGATATGACAAATGACATGTGGTTTGCCAGAGGTTCTCCAAACAAAATACTTTCATTTCCTTTCCTTCTAGAGGATAGCTTGGCTACATCTTTGTCTGTACATGTGGTGATTAAAAATAAACAGTTGTCTTAATCGTCGCTATCATAGGCAATCCCATGAGCCAGGGTAGGCGAGGGCTTCTAGGCAATTTTAGAGAAAAGTGACATCTTTCAGCATTTATTAAATACTCAGAATCTTAATTCTATGCACAGGCAAACAGCAAAATTCACAAAGAGGAAGACTGCAACAACTGTGAAATAATATTAGTACTTATTTAAATTGTTTCATTAAATCCAGACAACTTAACACCACTGTTCAAATGTACACACCTTCGATTAGAGCCACTGACAACCAAACCACTTTTGAGTGTCAATTGGCTCTAGGTTAGTAAATAAATGGTTATCTGCACATTGGAATTATGACATTTCTGTTTTAAAATACAAATTTAAATATTTACAATTTAAATTATGGACAAGGTCCTCACTCTTGAAAAGGTAAAATGTCAACCATGAATAATGTAAGGTTTAATTTTTTGAAAACCTTCTAATTCTTTTTTTTTTTTTTTGCAAAACAGACTTCCCTGAATCTCGTTTTATGTTTTAGTTTCTTTAAAAAACAAAAACAAAAACAAAAACCTACTAGTATACAAAGACTCAGAGGAACTTATCTTAGATTGTAAGTATAAAGAATCAGATAGGACACATTTCTATTTTCTTGGCTTAAATTTTTTTTCCCCAATAATACCAAAACCAGTTGTGTGCTCCATAAAGAGAAGAGGCATGCAGCTGTGCTCCCCAGTGCAGATTCCCTTGTGTCTCATGGGATAAAGATTTCACTGTGAGTCCACCAGGCTTGTGTAACTCTGAGAGAACCACACAGTTCCCCAGCATAGAAAACCAAAATCCAAACTCAGACTTTCAATACTTGGTTTGGGGCTCTTAAAAATACAGCTCCATGACTTACACAAGCAGCAGCCTAGGGAACAGCAGGTTGGAATGCAATTTAAATGCCACCTCTGGTCCTCTCCCAGGAGCCTGGGCTGGCTTAGGAGGAGTGTGCAGGCAGCCCTGGATGGTTGTTAGCTCAGAAGGGTGCCCCAGACACTACCGTCTGTCTACCAGACTAGCCATAGAAGGCCGAAGGGGAAGGTCAAGGGCTATACCTGCCAGCGGGGGACCAGCTCCCCGGTCTCCCTGCAAAGGGGCCTGTGCTGGCCCTGGGGGGCTCGGGCCTCTGTAGCTGTCAGCCTCCCATAGTGTTTGGTACCCAGCAATTTCAGCAGCTCCTTCCGAGACAATGGGCTCGCAGAATCTATTCATGGACAGAACCAGAGTCATCTCTGACAGCCTCAGACCTGGGGGGAAGAAAGACAAAAGGAAAACAGCCCTGATCAAGAGCCAGTGAGGGCAGGTCCTTGGCAGCCTCATCCCGTGGCTTTGGGAAACTTTCACTTCCTGGTCCTCCCCTTCACCCTGAACCATCTGATTATTTTTCCAAGAAAACCTCAGCAAACTCTAGCTGCTATTAGCTCAGCCTCTGTGTTCAGCAGTCTGCATTTCAGGGGCGGATCTTTAAAACCGGTTCCTTATTGTTCTCAGATTCCCCTCAGCCCTCTTCCAGACAGCTGCGTTGCCTCCTAAACACATTTTCCTCCTGACCTTCCCACAGAAAATGTACCACTAAGAGGCAGGGCCAAAATTTTCCTTTCTATTAATAAGGCAAAATCAATTTTCTAGTCAATCCCCTGGGAGTCTCCTTTGATGAAATCCACTAATCAATCAAACAAAAAGGGCGGGGTGGGGGGAGACAGAAACTCCACTGTAATCCCAACTGATGCTCTGAGGTTCAAACTGTCCCCCTGTCCCCTGCCCCTTCCTCCTCTTCTTTCCTCAGATCAGTTCCTCTACATCATTCTGGGGTTCCCTCCACTTTCTCCTCCCAGAGCAAAGCAGACAGAGAGACACTTGGTAGTTGTTTCCACCAGCCTTGATCGGCCTGAACTGGATCTGCCTCCAGTCAAAACACTGCGAGATGAAGACAGAAAATTGGCTCCAGTTTCCAGCCGTGAGTTGCAGTCCCACAGGAGCCAAGCACAACATCAACGGAGCAGGCAGAATATTAAACAGGAGCCAGGGCTCTGGGGCCAGAGTCAGCCAGCAACTCTTTAAACTGCAAAGCCCAGACACAAGGCAGGAACTTTCCAAGAGGCAACACATCACTGCCCATCTCTGCAGTTCACCTCCTTCCCTTAGGGCTGCAGGGAGATGGGGTGTCTCAACTCTGTGATGCTCCCTGGATCAATCCCCACCTCCATTGACAATAACTCAAGTCGGTTGGACCAATTCCATGTGCACTCTGTGTTCTCAGTTGGTCCTTTGTAGGACTCAAGATAGGGTCAAGGATAAGTTCAAGAGAGAAAAGAGTTGACCATTAATGCAAAAAGACCCAAGGGCCACAGAGCAGTAGTGACAGCAGAGCAGACTCAGTGCCTTGCCAACTGCCATTTCCTTGAAACTCAAACCTCCACTTTCTGGCTTTGAGATCTAAAGGACTGTCACCAAAGTGACGTAAGGCTTGCTTTCTGAAGATTGATTGTCTTTCAAGTATACACTAAGGGTCTAGTTCTTTCTTTTCCAAATTATACAGTTTGTAATGTTTTGGGGAGAGGGTGAATCTATCATTGTCTTGCGGGAGACTATTATTCCCTACATGCTCTAACAAGGGTCCGCTTCCTGGAGGAAAACATCAGGGGAAGGGGAAATGGCTTCATTAAAATGACAAAGTCCTTCTGGCTAACAGAGCAGCTCTTGGCAGCAGAGACTCTCTCTTTCACCAGGCTTCTCTCTGCCTTCTCAGAGTCAGTCCCAACCCCACAGAAGACAAGTAAGGTGTCCAGGTCAGTAGGCAGAATTAGGACCAAGCTGACTGGGGCTGCTAACCTAACTTTCCTCCTCTGTCAAGATGCCCTCCAAAGAGATATCAACAAGGACTTACTGAGAAAAGAGAGAGAGGGGGAGAGAGAGAGAGATTCAGATAATTATTTAAAAATGGTGGGAAATGCCATTTATTTTTCTCTTTGAGTCATCAACCAAGAAATTTGGCTTCCATCAATTCAACAAATTCAGTCATTGATCAACCCTCAAACTCAGAATTCAAGCAGGGTTTCAAATCTTATGATAATGTATTCCCTGGAAGACTCTCATGAAATGGTCTAATTTTTAAATCTATCCTACATTTCTATCAGGCAATGCTATGACCAGGAATAATTCATACTTTTTATGAGAACCAGTAGCCCTCTCTGATTGAGGAAAACTATAATTTCCAGCTTGAAGTTTACACTCACTTTTGAAATGGATTCTGGGAAGAAAATCCAAAGCTTTTTTGCCTGGTAGAACTTTGATGACATATAAACAAAAACAGGTTGACAGAGGCATGCCCCTTAAGAAAGAAAGGCGTTCACAGGCTCCTACCAGCAATTACCTTTGCTTAATAGGACATTAATGGGCCCTGTGCTGTTTTATGTTAGTCAGAGTTTGTTTATATTTTAATGACTTTGAGGGAGTAGCTTTTTTGGTTGTTTAGAATTTCAGTGTTCCAGCCTATGAAATTCTATCATTATGTATTTGAACTTCAAATGTGGCATAATAGTTTTTATCTTGGCTGTTTCTTTTGTTTACAACATCTAATTTCAGTCAGTTTTTCTTTTTTTGAATTTGAAACTGCTACACACAAAAATCCTAAACTAGAGAAGCTAAGTTCTGCAAGTGATTTATGTACTCTGAAGAAAACATGAATGAGCTGGGATTATTTGGGAGTGAGGAGGAGATTTTCCAATTGAGACTTCTTAGTCTATTTAGAAATTACACTGGGATGTTAGCAAATAAAGGCAAGTTTAATGTTCACAAAACACTGGACTGTACAGCACTAAGACTCATGTTTAGTATGAATCTTCACTTGTAGTATATGTAGAGAGCTAAACTCATTATTCTCTGCATAAGATTTGCATACAATTCTGCTATGTAATTCAGAAATTCAAGTCCACAAAATTCTGTGCTGTTCATTTCAGACCTAGCCACAATGATAGCAAATTTTCTTTTAACATCACAAGTGAATGGATTCAAAAGGAGGGTGTTAAAGTGTGTTCTATCTCCAGTGGATTTAAAAAAATATTTTCAAAGCCCTACCCTGCATCCTCAGGCTCCTACTTGCCTGTTGTGTCAGGAGGGGGTACAGCAGAAAGACCCCTTAAGCATCCTCAGAAGGCTGAAGGCCAGATGTCAAGTGCTTCTTGTAAAATTACCAGGCATTTCCATGCAGTTGGGTTTTTCCAGATGAGTTGGGCTTGTTCTTTTCTTGGAGCCATTATGATGCTAACAGGAGTGGCTGGCACACAGAATAGGGTAGCTATGGATTCCGTGCCACCTTGAATCTAGCAGGAATTCCTGGTCACGTTTCCATCACCACTCCCTATCTGTCATGGCAATTAGAGAACATTTTATTAAGAGCACTGGAGCAGTTAGAGGACTGACTCCGGTACTGGAAAGCAGGGCTGGTATTCCCAGCCCTTTACTGTTCTGCCCAGGTGTAGTGAAGCCCCTGACTTGACATTGTCCCTACAAGATGTCAACAACTTCTCTAGCTGCTGGTGGAAGGGGGTGGGGTGGTCAGAACAAAATCTCCAACCTTTCTAAGCTGACAGAGGTCGCTTTTGTGCAGATTCCTGCAGTACACCTGTCTACCCTAGGAAGTACACCTCTCACAGGTAATCCCACAAAGAGCATTAGGATGGGTTCTGGGGAATGCAGGGGCTGGCCTAAGGAGGTTGGGGAGTGAGAGCCCAGGTGCCAGCTCTCCCCTGCCCAAGCCCAAGCCCAAGTGGGGGGAGTGGAAAGGGGGGGGGTCTGAGGTTTGGCGGGCCAATCCCTTGCAGGCGGACAGCAGCCACCTTGTCCTAGTTTCCCTAGTTTCCCATACAGACACACCCCAGGGGTTGGTGGCGCAGCCCAGAGCCCCTTTCCTGGACAGTGGGCAGCAGCCTGCCAGCCGCAGGCCACAGGAGAAAGTAAACACCGCAAGTGTCTGGGAACAAAGGCAAGTTGTCTTCCCAGGTGCCCGAGCCCAGTGTCTCTTCTGAGGAATACGAGCTATTATTATTCTTTCTTCTTTTGCTTTCTTTCCATTTTTTTTTTTTTTTCTTTTAGAGCAAGTTTCCTTCTAAGGGAAATAAACACCAAAGGTGGGATTCCAAGGGAATGACTCACGGCGGTTGGCAGGGCTCTGGCGAGGCTGGCCGGGGCCCCGCGCTCAGCCCGCAGCAGATGCGCGCCTGGCCCTGGCTCCCCTGCCGGCCGAGCCGCTGCTGCGGGAGCGCCCCGCGCGCGCCTGGGGCCGGGCGAAGGCCACGGGGCCGCCTGTCCCTGCGCTTCTGCGGCTGTAGCCGGTAGCCGGGCACTCCGGAAAGTTGCTGGGGCCGGGAAGGCGCAGGGGAGGCGTGGACCCGGCGGGCAGCAGCCTCGGCCCGCCGGGGAGGTGAGCTGAGGACAGAGGAGCCGCCGCAGCCCGCAGAGCGGCTCGGCTCGGCTGCCGGGGAGGAGGGTGCGGGGGCGGAGGTGGCGGGGGACAGAAGGTGTCAGCTCCGGCAGCTATGCCTTTTTCTTGAGATCGCGCGCTCCTGCCATCCCCAACCCCTCCCTCCCCACCTGCCAAGCGTCGCAGCCTCCAGCCTTTGGGGGCGTCCCTCCTACTGACCCGAAGACGAAGGGCAGGCCACTGAGGACCTCGAGGTCTCATCAGAGCTGCTGTCCCTGCAGCCCTGGGGTCGGCTCCTGCGTGCCCCAAGGGGAGGCGGCGGCTCCCGCCCCGGTGAAGGGGGCCGCGGCCATAGCCAGTCCAGGAAAAGCCCTCGCCACCTCCGCGCCCGGTCGCCTTGCAAGCCCCCACGCTGACCCCCGCGCAGCCCCGGTGTCGGAGGGCGCGCGGGAGGCCGCGTGGTGCGGGCGGGTGCGCGGGCAGCAGCCGCGGAGCCCAAACCTCGTCCTGCACCCGCCGGGCCCTGCCTCTCGCCCCCGCCGCCCGCGCCCCGCGCCCCGCGCCCAGCCCCGCTCTTACCGCGGGGTCAGCGGGGAGGCGGCGGCCGCAGCGCTTGAGCGGCCGCGGGTCCGCTGTGGGCTCGGCGCCAGCCCGGCCGCCGTGCACACTCGCGCGGGTCCCGGCCCCGCAGCCCGATCGGCGGTGACCGCTGGTGCGCGGCGGGCGAGGGTCCCGGCAGGTCCCGCCGCCGCGACTGGGGCGCTGCGTCGCCGTCGCTGCAGACGGTTATGGTAATGAGCGGCTCTGTCTAGCAAGGAGCGTGTGAAACCCGTCAATCCTGTTTGCCATTTCCCCGTGGATTTCCGAGGAGAGGTTCTGCAGGATGCCCCCAGGGTGAGAGAGCGAACATGACAAGCGCGCCCGCGCTCCCTCCTCCCTCCGCTCCCGCCGCCGCCGCTCCTACGGCAGCACACGGGGCGCCTTCCCTCACCCCCACCCCAGCCCGCCCCCTGCCTCCTTCCCTCCTTCCCTCCCGCCCTCCTCCCTCCCCTTCCCCTCCCTCCCCTCCCTCCCCGCCCGGTGCCCGGGGACACGCGGGCGCAGCTCCAGCCCGCAACCCAGACCCCACGCGCTCTGGGGCTCCCGCCCTAGCCCTGGGGGCTCGGCTCCAGCCCAGTAATGCATTCACTCTGCAACCTTCTGAGCTGTCTTGTCTTTTTCTTTTTTTTTTTTTTTTAATTTGGCTTAGTTTTGTTGTGTGTGCGTGTGATTAAAAAAAAAAAATCTGTGCCTTTCCCACCCTTTGCAAAAGACTTTCTTCTCCTTTGCCACAGCAAATGGAGATGAGAAACAGATGTCTGTGCAGGACCAAGCAGTTATTCTCCCCTTGCCGCCGCCCCCGCTCGCCCGCCGGGTCCGCTCCTGAGCTGCATGTGTAGGAAAAAAAAAAAAAAAAAGAGGAACCTTGGTCCTACTGCAATTTGAATTGGCAACTCTTTCTGGGTGGGGAGCCCGGGGAAAACCTCCAGGAAATAAAAAAGTAATAAAGGAGGTTGTCCTTGGTCAAGAGAACGTAATTTAAGCCCTAGAAGCACATTATTCTGCAAATAGTGATTTTTCGCCTATATTGGACTCCTTTGGAGTTTGTTTTTTGAAACATTAATCCATAACTTCTGTCTAGGGACCTCTCGAGATGTCGAGATGGGTCATTTCAGGTGTAATGAACGCAGAGGGTTGAAAGGCATAGACCTAATAAGATCAGGGGGCGGCACCTGCCCAAAAGTGTTACAAGACTGTCATGTTTGTTTACTGCTACTGTGCCAGATGTACTAAATATAACACTTCTTTAAAGCAGTGATCCTCCGACTGTGAAAAGCTGAACCTCTGGCTGCCTGGCTCCCTAGGAATCACAGAGAAACACAGACTGAAAACTGGGGAGGAAAGGAGCAAATCAAGGAGGAGGATTAGCATCTGCAAATTGAACTCTAATTTGCATGTTTATTTCATAGAATTGTTATATTGTTATTAAATTTGTGTAATAAATGTTTTCCATTTCATTTGTACACTTAAAATTTGGATGAGTGACCTGCAGTTAAGTGAATTTCCTTTTTTTGTTGTTATAAAAGAGCAAATGTGGTTTATTCAATAAAGCAGCAAACAAATAGTAAGCATAATTAGAACTAATCTGAATTTTGTACATTAAAGACACTCAGAGGTTTTAAGGGTATTAGGAAGCCGAGAGAAGACAATTATACTGAAAACAGACTAACCCAACAGACTTACCAGGAGCTTTATTTCAGTTTTTCCAAAAGACATTCCAGGGTTGCAAGCCTAAAATTGGGACTTGGGCATCCATCTTGGCTTCATTCTAAATCATATTAAATTGCATTGACTCATGCCCAATGAAGGCCATTGCAGAGATGATTTAAGAATTGTAAAGATGCCATTTTTTTTTCAGTCAATGAAAGTTGCATGTCTAGGTTAAGGTTAGAATATAATTTCCATTTGGGTGGGAAGAAGGGCAAGGAAAGGCACAAGGGAAGCAGAGCAAGTACTTGAAAATCTAAATCAGTATCTAACACTGGTTATCGTCTAACTCAAAGAACAAAATGTGAGGGCTTGGAGTATGGCTTATTATTGTTTTTATCTCCTATATTAAAGTTTTATAGCATTTAAAGGACTGTGGGGAAATCCCCACACACACTTGGCTGTGTCAAAATACATAAAACCAAAAGCAGCAAATTAAGCATAAAATTGAGAAATAACAGGAGACTGAAACTCAGCATGGGTTGCACTGGCATCTTTGGAGCTTTATCTCTGAGAAATGAGCCTGTGGGAAATTGCCATTCCCTTGGGTGGAGAGGACTCTTAGCTTTAATGGTACAGCAAAATGACATCATGACACAAGAATAAAATCCTGTACTTCACAGCACCCTTTGCATTTCTGCGTGTGAACTTGACCCTGTCTGTTCAGGTATGTTAGGTTAGCATGTTTTAAAACAAGCTTTCCCTGCCCCACATTTAATCCCAAACCTAATGTTTTCAGAGAGTAAATGCCCAACTGTTGACAACATGAACGCTTGTCCACAAGTAGAAAAGGCAAATGTCTATGGAATGAGAAACACCATTTAAAATTTTAAAGTAAGTTGTGGCCGGGCATAAGAACCAACTGTAAATCAATAATGAGATATTTGGAAGGAGTGAGTGTGATTTATGAGTGACACTATTCAATCGAGCACTAGGATGTCATCATTTGTGGATGTGTGTGTGCGTGTGTGTGTGTCTAAGCTAAAAGTTTGATTATAAAACTTAAAATACTTTGAGCTGCAAATTCACTGAAAGCAGTGATTGTTTTTCTTCAGTTAACAGAGTGCTAGACTTAAAACTGCTGAAATCCATTTCCCAAAATCTTTTCTCATTTGAAAGGGAGATTTTGCAAGTAAAATCTGACTTATTCAGATTGCTGTGGACACAGTGCCCATTTTGGATTAATAAAATATCTGAATTACTGGCTTAAAAACAAAACCCATGCAACTGTTTTAGAACAAAAAGAGGCATCTCTACTCAATCTCTCCAGTTCTTCTTCTCCCAGTCTAACCCTTTTTTCCATTAGACTTACATCGCTCCACTGAAACTGTTCCTAGCAAGTTCACTGATCACCTCCCTGTTGAGGTCATTTTTTGGTTCTCATCTTACTTGACCTACTATAAGCAGCACTTAAACCCTTTGCTCAGTCTGTCCTCCTTCAACTACCTTTTAGAATGGCTTGCAGAATAACACTTTCCTGGTTTGTCTTTTACCCTACTGTCTTTTCCTTCTAAATCTCCCTTGCTGGCTCCTCCTATGACCCCTGAATGCTGGACTGCCTCCAGCTCAGTCCTTAGGCCTTATCTCTGCCCTATAAGCCACTTTCTTGTGAATATCATCCAATCTATTGGCTTCAGATTCAGTCTATATTCTGAAATTTATAGCCTCAGACTGTCCTGATGTCAGATTCCATTAGATGTCTAGTTCGTAGATCTAAAATTCAACATCTGATAGCTTCTGATCCCCTAAGCAGGGCTACTACTAATATTTTCCATTAATAATTCATGTTTTCACTATTTTTCTAGTCATTCAGGCAAAACAAAAAACTTTGTAACCATCCTTGCCTCTTTTTTTCATTCATACTCTATATCTAACACATCACAAATTCCTTAAGGCTCTACCTTTACAATTGGTTTAGACTCTGGTCATTTCTCAGCACCCATCACCTTGGCCCAACCCATCACCACCATCTCTTACTTTGAATATTGCAGTAGCCTCCTAACTGGCCTCCTTGCTTCAATCTGTGGTTCTCTGTATGGTTAAATCTTGGTTCAACAGCCACTGGTATCAATGTTTGTTAAGACTTTTCTTTATGCTCCCCATTTTACTTAAAGTAAAAGCCAGAACTCTGCAATGGACTACAAAGGCTGGAAGTGTCCACTCATCTCTACTTCCTCACTCTGCTTCCAGCCACTCTAACCACTTTCTTCTTTTTCCTCCAACATGCCAGGCCTTGCTTACCCAGGACATTTACGTCAGCTTTTCTTTCTGCATCATGCATTGAATGCTCTTTCCCCACATAACTGCACAAACCAATGCCCACCTTTTCCACACCTTTGTGCAAATATCACCTTCTTAGCAAGCCTTGACCAATTCTAACACTTCTGCTCTATATCTTTATTTGTATCCAGAAGATGGATCAATAAACTCTGCATTTTATGCCTGTGTTCTACTTATCACTTCTCCAGATAGAAAGTAAGGTCCACTAGAAAGTAAGGTCCATATGGCAGGTATTTTTGTCCTTTTTACTTAGCCTTGTATCTTCAGCACCTAGCAGAGAGCCTCGCACACCAAAAAAGCACTCCATAAATACGTGCCGATTGACTTTGCAATTGATTGACAGTTGTTTCACGTATGTACAGAAGCCAAACAGGGCTAAAATGGAGCTAATCAGTCTAGTGTATGTAGAATGTGAAATAGGCAGTTTTTTTCTTTTTAATTACCAACTCATTTGCCTCTTGTTGAATTCTCTGCCCCAGTGTGCTCATCTGCCTGCAGCATTCCAGAAACCAAAGATATTCCTGAGATCCTTGGCATCCAGCAGTTTCAAGATGCCCTGCCTGCCTGAGAGTTCCAGTACAATATGCCATCAAGTGGATGCTGGTGCTTTGGACCAATCCTCCTTCCCAACCCAGATTTCCATCACTGCCACAAGGCTTGTCCAAAGCTTTAATCTTATTAGATAAAATTACAATGTATGTAGAGTTGTTCTCCAGGACCCTATAATGTCACTTCTTGGCAAAGCCACCCCTGCAGTAGCCAAGAACAACTCTACTTTCTTTCTTATCCTCCTTCAAAACTCACTCAGAAACAGCTCAGTAATTACATGCATTGCCTATGCAGAATTCAGCTCGGCTCTGCAGGTGAAGCAGAAATGATGCTTTCTGACTTGAGGAGTTGTCAATAGGGTGAGTAGCAAAGATAAGCATAGAAATAGTGGTTCTATTTAGTAGTTCAGGGAGTAGTAGATGCCATGGGAGTTCAAAGGTGTGATAATCATATCCTGGTGGCTGAAAGACTTTCTTAAGAAAATAAAATCTGAAGTTGACCTTGAAGACAGGTAGCACTCAATAGGTGGATATAGGGAATGTGAGAATTACTTCAAGTAGAGGATCCAAACTTGAGGAAAGGCACATAGGCTACCAGGCAAAGGGC